TACGTTAAACACGGTGGCGGGTACTACTACTACTACTACTACTACTACTACTACTACTACTACTGGCCGATATCCAGACGACGAGCTCGAATCGATGAACTGGTGTGCTATCTCGGGTGGTTTGCCTTCGACCCCAAACCCTGTAGTTTGTGAGCGGCAAGAACCCGGTAGCTTGCTTGAAATACGGGTTTCTCGCAACCCTTGAGGCCGTTCGGAACTGGGCGAAGCGCATCCCAACACACTGACGTCGATGAATAACTTGGCGATCGTGCTGGAGGCCAGAAGGAGCTGTGTGCTGCGCCAGCTTTCGTGCTTTTCCTAGCCACTCGGCGATGTCCAATACTTAAGCCAACAACGGGCACAAAAAGCACCCTTCCTTTCCCTGCCTGCGAAGTAAGTATATCTTAACCCAAGCCTTACTCCCTAAACCGTCAAGTCTCAGTACGAAATTCTCTAATCCCAAGCACTAAACTCCGCACACTCTACCCCCCGAACCCTACAACCTAGTCGGGCCCAAATGCCAACAAAGCAACGTCGGCAGGGCCGGGGACGCTACGATGAGGCCGAAGCGCTTCACCGCAAAGCGCTGGAGGGTCGCCACCAACTCAGCCGGCAAGACTCTGGGTTCGTATCTTGTTAAGGAAACCTCGACAAAGTAAATGATAGGACTCGGGAAGTGAAGCTGGAGCGCACGAGATTTGACGAGATGAGTTGGTGCCTGGGTACAGGCTTGAATTCAGGCTCGGCTGTGCTCAGGGTATGGGTAGCGGGTCACATTGGCTTTTCGAGGTATGGTTAAGGTTTACGGAAAATGGTTTCAGCTTTAGGGACTGCGTCGCATGGGGTTTGCTTCGGGTGGGTTTTGCCGTGTCAACGGGCCAAAAAAGCCTGGTACATGGCTTCCGTGTTTCAGTCTTTTTTGCGCAGCCGGCGATTGATTCATGCACGAGCACAGCAGTAACTTACGTGGCATATCGAACGGTGCAGTGGTCGCATTGTGGCCTCCCCAGTTTTGTGCTCGTTTGGTTCTGCTCAATTCCACTCAGAGTGATGGTGCTGTAGCTTCGAGGATCCTCCTGCAACGGTGGACGAGGAAGTTAGCTGAAGCCAAAAACCCCTAAAACTTGAAGCGAAGACCTGTTAGCCCCAGCACCCGACGTTGGAGCCCTCCCCCCCCTCTCCCGGAGTCCGGAGAGGGTTCTGCAGAATCCCAGCCCAAACCCTTCAAAGCCACATGAGCTTTCGAGGCCGGGCCCAGCTGGGCGAGACGCATCCCGATACCCTGGCATCCAAGAACAACTTGGCTTCGGTGCTGGAGGCTTCGGGCGTTAAGTCCTTCTAAAGGCTTAGGGCTAAGGCCTAAAGTTGTAAAGGCCTTGGGGGTTTGGGGTTTTAGGGAAAGGCCCGAAAGGCTAGAAAGAAAACATAGCGGTTTGAGTTTTGAGCTGCATCCCTTGATTACGGGGGTAGGCTACAGCCCCAAACCCAAAAACCCTAAAGCCTAGATTTTCCTCCACCCTAAGCCCTCAGCCAGTCATGTCTCAGACCCTTCATGGTGGCCAAAAGCCGTGGACTCAAAGAAGCGCCAGCCACCCAGGCCCAGGGCCGTTCTGAGGAGGCCGAAGCACTGCAGCGCAAGGAGCTGGAGAGTTGCCGCTGCCTCGGGAGTTCACCATACCCGATTTGAAACGAAGCCATGCATGATAAATCATCACTGTCAAGCCATGTTCCAGTTGACAGTAGATCGATAGATAGATAGATAGATAGATAGGTAGATCGACAGATAGATAGATAGATAGATAGATAGGTAGGTAGGTAGATAGGTAGATAGGTAGATAGGTAGGTAGGTAGATAGATAGATGGATAGATACATAGATTCATCTATATATACATATATACACATGTCGTAGCAAATATGCATGTTGATTTTTGCTTTTAAAGGATCGCGGTTTTGGAGTTCAGGCCTGTGGTGCTGGCCTGGAATCTGCTTAGAGTCGGCTTTGGGGCTTGCAGTGGTTCCAGATCGCTTGGTGTGACGTTGTGGTACCTTCTTGCGAGTCCTGCAGTGCACTGTTACACACGCTCACACTCTGACAGACGCATACTACCACTCTAACTCCTCACTGTCAGTCGCAACGTGGCTGTCACGGCCAGTGTTACGCCCGCCGTCACCATCTCACTCTCACCTGCAGTCGTGCAAGCGCACCCACATGCAGATGCACACGCATGTGCACGCATGTGCTCTCTCCCTCCTCTCTCTCTCCCACTCTACATCCTTCCCCTCCTGAGGCCGAGCGAGATTGGGCGAGACGCACCCGGAGACCCTCACGTCGATGAGTAACTTGGCGATGCTGCTGGAGGCCACAGGGGCCGCAACCGGGGGATCAAGGGGGTTTCTCGCAGGGCGTGGATTTTCACGGAAAGGCCAGCTGTTCGCCCAGGCCGGAACAGCTGTCCTGGCATTCTCGTGGTTATCGGATGCAAACTGAGAAGAAGTGCAAGTGCCAGGACCAGGGACGCAATGAGGAGGCTGAAGCACTCGCCCGCCAAGCGCTGGAGGGTCGCCACTGCCTCAAACAGCAAGAGGAAAGGAGTGGGGTTCAGGTTTGCATCAAATCCCTTTCCCGAGGCCGTTAAGCCCTGGGCCCTTGGACCCAAAGCCCCTGTCCCCTACACCTTTGGCATCGAGCTACGGCCTACCGGATTCGAAGGCTCAAAGGTGATTACAAGTTTAGGTTTCAGGCTACGTGAGTTGCGCCCAGCAGAGTTTGCCAACCCACAGCCGGTGCTGCTTTCGCGCATCGCGAGATGTGCGGTGTTCACCTGACACGGCTGCAAAGCGGTGCAGACTACTTATCAGTGTACATGGTGTTCGGTAGTCAACACGAAGTGTTGGGTAGTGTCGACCGGTGCCGCGTCGTGTCATAGTATGTTGAGTTTATGCTGCAACCGGTATTTGAATGTGCGTTGATGTGGAATGTATGCGATGCGTTTTGTTATCGCGCTGCTGTGCTCCGTGTGGCCATGGCTCATGGCAGGTAAAGGTTGTGTACGACTCTGCCAATAGCATGATTTCATGCTAGCTTCGTGCTTAATGAAGCTGGGTCTGATAGCTCTTGGAGGTGCTGTATGCCTCAACACATAGCGATGATGCACGCTGGCACCTCGTTTCATTCATGTGCATTGTTTCAGTGAGGTAAGTACGTAGAAGTGGGATCAATGCTATCTGTATTTGCAGTGCGACATATCATGTTCCATGCTATGCAAGTGCCAAGCGTCATGCTTAATGCTCGTAAACATTAGTCGGTGTTGTCCTGTATCATGTGGTGAATGCTCATGGCGACGAAATTTTCACGGCGCGCATCTGTGCATGATCTCATGTTGAAGATGGGTGCTGCCATTCCCCAATCCGAACATCACAGCCGCTCATAAACGCACAACGTCTTCGTTTCGTCCTCAAACACTTCGCGGTGATGGATTTCTCGTGACATGCAGCAAGTCCTTCAAGATACCACATTTCCACGCTCAATGGTTATCAGTCTTTTGCAACAGCGCACGAGGCCGGGCGAAGCTGGGAGAAACACACCCAGACACGCTGGCATCGATGCAGAGTCTGTCTTCGATTCTGCAGGCAGCTCGAGCTTGGCATCGGATGGAGAGAAGTGAAAAGGGGAACCCAAACTTGCAGGAGAAGGGAAGCTACGAGGAGGCCGAGCAACTACTCCGCCAGACGGTGAAGGCCCGCCGCCACCTCAGCCAGCCTACACCGAAGTTCTCGCGTGTGCAGCCCAGGTTGTTCTGTGTGGTGCTGCAGTGCAGGGTACAATAACTGTAGGAAAGCTTACTGCAGTGCAGTGGTTTGCAGCGAGTCATGGCAGCATAGTGTCATGCAGCACGGAACGAGAGGGTGCAGTGAAGAACATCGTGGTCGTGACTGCCATGGTTGGCACGTGATTGTCTATGTTGGATGTGTTTGGAGCAAGCAGGCTGAATTCATGTCGCATTGTCCTGTATAGTTCTTCTGGGTCGACACGCAACCTTCTGAGGGCAGTTTTCTCATGTTCAATGATGCCTAGTGTCATGAGGTTTTCTGGCGGGTGTGTACCTTCCTCCCTCCATCCCGCTCCCTCTCCCTCTCCCTCCGCTCCCTCCCGCCCCTCCCGCCTATTACACTGCTGCGGCCCGTGCATGGGCGAAAGCTGTTTGTCGTGCCTTCTGTACCGGCTGTGCTCTGCTGCTAGCCTGTTTATCAAGCTACGTTCGTCTTGTTGAGTTCTTCTACCGCTTGCTGTTCACGTGTCATGATTAAGCCTCTGGTGCTCTTGTGTGCAAGGACTGATGATGTTTGGCGGCGGAATGCGTGTCTGATTGACCAGTGAAGTTCCGGTGATTATATTTCTTTCTTATGAGTTATTATTGCTTGTATTATAGTTATTAGCAGTACTCTTACCCTTTTTATTGTTTCTATCATTACTGTCATTGCTATTATTCTTATCTCAGCCTTCGAGAACAGCTCCGAGGCCGGTCGAAGTTGGGCGAGACTCATGAAGACACTCTGATGTCGATGCACAGCTTGGCCATCGTGCTGGAGGCACGAAGTCGTTTCTTCCCGAGCGCTTGCTTGGGTCCCCCAGCCGTGCGACGAAAACTCGAAAGCCAAATCCTAGAGCACAAGCGGCTTCACAAGCGGCAAGGAGCAAGAACGCTACGAGGAGGCCGTGGCACTCCTCCACCAGACGCTGGAGGGCCGCCGCCGCCTCAGTCTGCAGAGGGGGGTGGAGTGGGGTCGGCGTGGCGCGCTGAGCTTTTGGGGTTTTGGCTTTTCAGGGTTCGGATGCTTTAGAGATGTGACGGGGTGGCGGCACGGACAGGGAGATGACCAATCAAAAGGCCCCCAATCAACCATTCCAATGTCTTGTGCATGCTTTGGTTGAAGTGCACAACGCAGTCAAGAACGGCAGAATGTGCTGCGACAACATGTCAAGGTAATGGGTTGCCATTTCCTCATATTACTTTCAATGCTGGTGCGATGTGTAGAGCTGCCACCTCTCAGCAACAGACAGTGGTGCGAATCCATTTCGGCATGTTGTGGCTGGTTGGAAGGGTCAATCCGTTCTATGAGCACGAGTGACAGAGTTCATGCTGCTACAGTGTTGGCGTTGGGCTTAGTCTCTGCCTTCCTCAAGCTCGGCACTGATCTTGTTTTAACTTGTTTGATGTTGATCTTAGCCCTCCATGTTGCCATTTGTTTGTGCGCGTGCATGTGTGTTCGGGTGAACTTGTTTATGCAGGTAGTTCTTGGAGCTCTTGTCTCAATCTCGAATGTCAAAAATCTTGAATCTACAATTTTCCCGGACACATCTGTGTATCTGTATCAGTATGTATGAAGAGAGAGAGAGATATATATATATATATCTGAATGTTTATGACATACATACCTACATACATACATACATACATACATACATACATACATGCATGCATGCATGCATGCACGCACACACACACATAATTACACACACACACACAAACGCACACACACACACACCCCTTC